CATTTACAAATTTTTCTTAGGCTTTTGATTGGAAGCGTTGTTAATATTTCAATATTTGAATTTTGAGCTGCTCCCCAAAGTTGTATTTCCAATATGTCCAGGACAGGTTTTAGTAATGCCTTTATACAGGAAGAATTTTGTTTGCGATGCTTTAAGGATGAGTTTTTTCCTTAAAGCCAGTTTAATCTGATAGTTTTTGAAGAGATCTAATTCTTTTCTTTATTCTTTATATGTGTTTTCCATGTAAGTTCTCTGTTCCAGTGTAATTCCAGATATATTTTGCTGAGTCGTTTTGAGGAATAGGTTGTGATCCGATTTTTTGGAGAGGGCATGTTCGTGCTTAGAGTGAAGGTAACTTGGGCAGACCTTTTGTCATTTGTCCTTGAGGCGCCAGCGTTTCTGCCACTTGTGAATGGATTGCAGAAAATGTTCTTCTACGAGTCGGTGAGCTTCTGCTGGGATCTTTATTGTCGAGCTAAGATGGCTGTGTCATCCGCGTAGGTTGCTGTCAAGCGTTTTCTGATGGTTTGGAATGCCCGGCATGTATAAATGAGTAAAGGAAAGGTGCAAGCACACTTGCTTGAGGAACCCCCGAATTTATAGGGGATAAGTTCTGAAGTAGCACTGTTAAATTTTATTGAAAATTATCTCTCCGTGAGGTACGATTTTAGTAAAAGATAGTAAGGATATGGTAGTTTTGCTAATTTTATACAATAACCTGGGTGCCAAACCTTATCGAAGGCCTGGCTTATGTCAGAGAAACCACGGCAGGCAATATTCTTTATTTCTAGCGATTCACTAATTTGTTTACTATTCGATGGATTTGTTCTATAGACGAATTGGCTTTGTCTGAAGCCCAAATTGATGATGGGTATGTATTTCTTTTTCTTCTAGAAGTTGGATCAAACGTTGACCAGAAGTAGTTTCTTCAAAAACTTTGGATAGTGCTTGGTAGAATACTAATAGGTCGTATGATTACTACTTCATGCATTTGGTTTGCCCGAGTTTAGGGATGACTAATTTACTTGGGTATTTTCATTGATCGGGGAAGTGTCCTAATCTTAGAATGGTATTGAAAATGGAAGTAATTAAGGCTATCAAATTTTCTTGGTAGATGGCCGTAGAATTGTTATAGAAATCAATATCCTATCCGGGGAGCTTTTCTTGTTGGTAAAATTTTGATTAATGCTATCAACTTTACGAGACATTACGGGCTTGATTTGGGGAGCTAGTTGCAAGCGGTGAATACTAGGAAGTTGTAAATTTCTTCCTCTTCTGCCCCTGCAGATATTTGTGGAGGAATGGTTGAAAGACCGTAGAGCAAATGAGAGGCAAAGCATTCCGTTTATTCTCTTCGTCGCTTTTAGCCCATGTACCATCAGTTTTTCTGATCAGCAGGAAATAGGTTGTATGTCTCTTCAAGTATTTGGTGGTTTTACCCAAGAGAGTACTCTGAATTTGAATTTGGAGTCAGTCTATAAGTTTATCTTGTAGAGCGTTGTTTTCGGTGGTTCTCGAAGTCAATCTTTTCTGGTTTTGCGAAGCAGATTTAGTCTTCTTTAGTTTGCTGATCTTTAGTGATTTGCCAGTTTTTTTTTATTTTGCGTTTTGCTATCACTTTTCCCTTATTAATTGTGGGATTATTTGTTGTTTTATGTTGCTTAATTTCTGGTGTAGAATACCATGCAGCTTGATGAAGTTGTCTTGTTAACGGATATTCTCTTGCTTCATGACATGCGAGAGCACTTTTCAATGGTAGATTTAGCAGTGCAGTTATTAATTAGCCATTTCTGAAAGTATTTCAATCTGTTTTATTGTTATGAATTGAGCTTCTTCTTGTTGTCTTCAATAATGAATGAGCTGATGATTAGATATAACTGGGTGAATGGTCAGATTGATAGATCTTGTGACCAGTAGGTACGAATATAATTTTTGGTTTACTCCCTTTACAAAAAGAAATCTAAACATCAGGAATTTTGTTAATGTCAGTCGGCCAATAAGTGGGTTTGTCCGCAGAAGAGTAAGTGGGATAATCCTTCGTTTATTAATAGATTCATAGAGAGGATTTCCCTTTGGAGATGTTAGTCTCTGGAGCCCCACAAGGATGCTTAGAATTGTGGTCACGCCAGAAATAAATCTGTTGGACCAAGTGTTTGAAGAAAACTTGTGAATCCTGAGAATTCTGAATTTTGTGTTTTTGGAGGGGCAGTATACAGCTACAATATTCAATGTTCCGAATGCATCGTCCTTACTTGAAATGGATGTTGCCTGCAATACATGGTGCTATATTGAGAATGTAAATGTAAAAAATTTTTTCCCGAACAATTATGGCTGTTTCTCCAGTGCTGGTACCCATCTGGATGGTTTGTGTAAATATTGGTGTATCCTTGAAGCGAGAAAAAGCTCTTAGTTATTGACAATGAGTTTTCTGAAATGAGCATTATGTCTGTATTTTTTAACTGAAAGAAACACTTAACTTCATCTCTGTGTTGTAACAAGCGCATTTGGCGTTCCATGCTGCTATTTTATCATGATTTGGTTCATAATTTAGTTAGCAGTTTTGACCACAAGTATATTCAAAAGTGCATTTGATCTGTTCTGCTTGTCTGCTTAGTTAATAGTTTCAAAATCTTTCGAAGACTGCTGAATTTATTGAGAATAATTTGATTATTGAGACTCCATTTTAATGCATTATTGGTTAAGGTATATTCTTCTGTTGTGAGCTGTTCAAAATGCTTGTAGCATAGGTACCGCGCTGATGTAAATTATTTGTTGAAGTAGCTCTCAGTTGTGAGACGTTTTCATTGATCTGTATTCAACTTTAGTTTGTGAAGCAATATAGTTTGAATGTAGAAAAGTTTTTGTTTGCACTGTGGTATTTTTTATTACGTATTTTTGAATAAATTTCACATCCTTTTTATAACTCGCCGTATATTGGACCCATCACAAAGAGCACATTTTGGGAAGAATCGTCTGTTTTTCTTTTTATCACAGTTTTTGCTATCGTGGATCTCACCGGCACACTTACACACCGATAAGGATGATTGCAGTAGTTGCTTCGGTGTGCTCCCAGCTTTGGAGGCGATGGCACTGACAAGATCTCGCTTTACTCTTGGACGCTTCAAATTATTCATGTTGGTATTGAAGGTATGCAAATTTAAAACGTCTTTGTTATTATCTTTTGCGTTCTAAATCAATGAAAAATACTGTAGGGGAATTTTTGTTACACGTTGTTTGCAGTTTGTGGATATTTCTTATAGTATGACCGTTTTCTTCTATTTCCTGTTTTCAAATTCATCAATATTACTGTAGGGTGGATATTTCTTAATACTATTCGTAATGCCCTTTCTTTTTTAGCTGATAACTGTGAACTCAATTTTCCTCCTTTAAATAAGGTATTAGTAAGTGATCGATAAGCTTCTTGGTGTTACGGCTAAATTTTAAATGTATCTTGGCCCAAGCTTGCAGCAATACTCTTCTTTATTCACGGCTTTTTGTAAGTTTCTGTCATTGCGTGGGAAATCATTTACCCAGGGAAGAAATATTGGCGGTAGCTTTTGCACATTTTGAATGTTGTTAGATTTTTGAATGGTCAGGATGTTTGGTTATTGGGTTCGTCCGTCATGTATTAGTTCGAGATCTGAAAATCTATTATTGTTGGTATGTTTAGTTACGTTTGCACTTATTGGACGTTTCGGTTGTTTTTGATTTTCAGGGCTGTTTGATTTACTTTCGTTGCGTTTGCTTACAACAACCTGCCATTTATGTGTGGTTGTTTATCACTACTTAACATTACTGTCAGATGGATTAAAGTTCTGGATTTATTACCTCGGTGAACTTGAACTTGACGACTGTACTGCGAGAAGGGAGTTAATGGCAAAGTACTGCTTCTTGATAGCGGAAACTGTGATTGCCTGTCCGTCAGGAGTTGCTGTAGTTTGATCTAGTTGTAGCTGGTTGTGGACTGCAGTTGTTGTTGCGTTCTTGCAATTTTGCTGTTGGTGTGCAATAACATTTTGTTGGATATTCACATAAAACGTGTTTGGCGAATTTTAGGCGAGGCTTTCCGTTTCACTACTTCCATTGCTGCTGCTATGCTCTGTCCGAGTCAGAGCCATGTTATTTGACTTTCCACTGATGTTTTACAGAACACTGCACTCGTTCACAAATTTAAAATAAATAGGTTTAATTTTCGTGCAGCTTTCTGAAGCCTACACTGAAATTCTTCACCAGCACACTGAATAAAATAACTAACTAGTACGCTAATACACTTCGTTCACTCTGAGTTCGCTTATCTTTTGCGCGTTAGGGCAACACGACAAGTAAGCACTGCGGAGCAGCGCCACGACCGTTCCCCTCCGCGCTGCCACACGAGAACTCCTTTCAGGTTCTCTTTAACTAAGTTGTGGGTATATTGTGACACATCCACACCCGTTACGTTCACAATATATAAACATTAAAAGACGTTGTTTGTTATGATTTTGTGAATTAAGGTGTCACTTTGGTTTAATAAGAAATAAGTTTGATAAGTCATATTCTTTGAAATCGGATACTTGTACGCTTTAATGGATATGAATGGGAGAAGTCAAACTTAACAAGATAAATGTCCTCTTTTTAGGCATTACTACACAGTTTGTTTTCTCCGTATTTCACTTTGAATTTCGTAAGGTTTTGATAAGTCCAAGGCCAATACTGCTCGTACGTTTTCTTGGGAGTTCTTAATTTTAAAAAAAAATCGATAATATGGATGAAAATGAAATGAAGTCTGGCCCGCGCGATTCGCCTTGTCGCATTAAGAGATCGCAACAATAAGACTTGCCCTTTCGTGGAAGAAAATCATAGCGCCGTGGAGCGAAGGTTTTCCTTTGACTCTGGGGTTTGATCAACGCCTCTATTAAAGATCTATTTGGGTTGGCGTTGGGTAATTCCCGGCATACTCGCTAAGACCCTCGCAGGTGCTGTGGCGCTGTGCGCAGGTGCAGCGCCCGTCGCCGACGGAGGCGCTGGTGCGGTGGGAGGCGGGCGAGGAGGCGCAGCGCAGACTGGCCGCGGGCGACGGCCTGCGCGGGCAGCTCGAGGTGCGTCTTAATCAACGCCTTCCCCTTTTCAACATTCAAACATTCACCAATCCACCGAAGCTTGTGGACTTGAAATGAAGTATTTTCTCAATAAAGAATTGCTTTTTAACTGTACAAAACTAATCAATTTTAACCTAATTCTGGACTATAAGTGATAAAAATTCTATTATTACAATTACTTTAATAAAACGATATTTCATCAATAGATTCAGTACGATGTCAAGCAAACGGACACGTCACAACTGCTGATGAGCGAAGGAGGATATTTCGTGCACTTCTTTTCACTACCAGAGAGTCACTTGCCTATGCCAAAACATCTCATCTTTGTCCTCGATGTTTGTCAATCAATGTACGGCAACAAAATGCAGCAGGTAGGTAGCACAAAATTGAACATAAGTTGATCGAAAGAAGCTATTAATAATTATAAATAAGCTAATTCTTGATATGAGTTTTGCATAATGCGCGTCATCCATTTAATGAACACCAGTGGTTTTGTGGCGTTGTTTTGTTTACAAGTAATGCTTGTAGATGAAGGAGGCGATGGCAGCAATCCTGTCGGAGCTGAGTGAGCGCGACGCCTTCACGCTGGTGACGTTCTCCGCGGAGACGCGCGTGTGGGTGCGAGGGCTGGGCTTCGTGGCGGCGACGGAGGGGCACAGGAACACGGTGGTGGGCGCGACCAGCGACATGGTCCTCGAGGCGCGGGAGGTGGTCGGCCAGCTGCAACATCAGCCAACCGCAGGTGAATAAAATCCCTTCATCACAACCACGAGACGCGCGTGTGGGTGCGAGGGCCGGGCTTCGTGGCGGCGACGGAGGGGCGCAGGAACACGGTGACTATAAAATGTCCCGTCATCTCAATCGTGCGTTCGTATTGGAGTAAAGAATGAATTGTCAGTTTAATCACTAGCATATTTTTCTACTTTGATAGTAGGCCAACGTTTGAGTTGCAAACAGCTAGCAGCTTTTTATACAAGATGTAAGCGTTTTGTTTGTCAATTTCAGGTGAGTTTTCAAACATCGTTCCATTGCTTCATTTGTAGGGTGTGTCTGCGGTAAGGAACGAATTATTCAATACCACCTTTTACGTCTTTGTTAGTAAAAGGAAGTTTTCATGGACGTGTAACCACTGATATTTTCCTTGCGACGCAAGAGGTTGTTGGTCTGCAACAGGAGCGAAATTTGCGTCATCCAAGAACTTCTTCTCTGAACCTGTGTATAGTCATTCGATTTGTACTATGAAATAAATTGACGATTTTTTCACCAGCATAGTTTACTACTATGTACAAAATTGTGTACATGACTTGGGCGGTCCACTAAGTTCTATGCAATACCTCTCGCCCCCTACCTGTGCACGTAGTCTGTCTAGACTCTTAATAGGCCGCATCTCGATGTTTTAGCGAACCTCTGCAAAGAACCTTGGGATTCTGGGCTATCCAGGAAACGCCGCGTTGTTGGCTGGGGTGCCGACAATTTGCCTGACATGTCGTAGGCTTCCTCAGGGCAGTGACGAGGAAGCCTATCGACATGTCAGGCAAAGCGTCGTCACCCCAGCCAACGACGCGGCGTCTCCCGGATAGCCGAGAATTTATGGATTTGTGCCGCGGAAGCCTACGTATACACAAGAACCATGGGAGTTTGTTTTGCTAGTTAGAGGCTGATCATTATTGTACCTTGTTGCTGGAGCAAGGCAGATGGTTACAAAATGCGACGGCATTACCGTGTTGCATGAGTATAGGGGTGTGTGTTGATATGGCTAAGCGGGAAGCTTACTGGAAACCGCCTCAACTGTTAAGTTCTGAGCGGCTACGAAAATCCAGTGTTTCCTCATTGGCTCCAACACTGAGAGTCAGTTAAAGGGAGGGAATATTTGGAGTATGCGGATGTGAGAGAAAAACAATGCTTTCTTAGTATTGTAAGTGAAGTATACATAAAAACCCTCTGGAGGGGATGTATTCGTGTGATAATGGAGCGATTAGTAAGCGGAAGAAATGAGATACACCGCCTATCCTGACGTAAGAGATTTGAACACAGCTGATGAAATTTGAGACGGTAAAACAGCATGATTATTTAAATAATAAAAAATGTCATTTAGAAACTTGAGTCTAGTAGTGTAACCAAGCCCGTTGGGTTTAGTGTCATTTCGAGGTGTGCTTAAGGAAAGTACCCTAGAGCTTTAGCAAGGTAACAGGTTGCCAGATTAGATCAGTAAAACCGACATCCCGTCACCACCTGACACCCTACCGCAGAGAAAAACATCTTGACCTACATGTTCGACTCTCCGAAAATAGAGATGAAACGAATATGCCATGTGAAAATAGCATTCTACATTCAAGGGTCAACTCTAGTCTTCCACCCAATGGATAATTCGTTACCTAAACATGGCCTCTGAAAACCACGTGCCATCGAAATGATGTGCACGTTATTCGTGAACGGGTGTTGATATCTTGGGGAGTTCGCCATTACTCCGATTGATAAATGGATTGGAGGTTTCGGGCGAGACCATTATTTTCGTCAGAGGTGGGTGAACGTTTCCTGCGCGGGAGGTGGCGGTGAGCTGCCCACTCGAGTTGGCGAGACCCGGCGCAGTGCAACGCCTGCTTCGAACGATGTCCTTTAGCCTGGTATCTCCCACCCTCGTGGCACTGACTCAGTCGCGACAACCTCAAAGATGCCGACTGGTCTCCAAACGCGTGTGGTAGTGAAGTGCTTGTCAGTATGAGTGTAAGTAGAGGAGGACTAGGAAGTGGAAGGGAATATCGAGCGAGGCCCTTTACCCTTTATTTAGGGCTCTGCTCCGGTACTAGCCTTGTGTTGGCAGAAGAAATCACGAGAAACTATGGATCAGACCAGCCGACCACGAGAATCTCCTCTTGACAGAGGCTGAATTGGTCTACCACATTCGAAACTCGAATACTGGAACTATCAGAACAAAAACACTGCATTTACATCGGTAGTCCACCGCCATTGGTAAAAAAGAGTCGAAATTCGCGCGACCACCATCGGGACGCGAACCTCCGGAGCTCCCCGTCAGAGGCGCTGCGACATCAGTTGATGCCGTGTCACCTTACCTGGTACACATGATCGAAAATCTTGCCTCCGTCGGGACTTGTACCCCAAGATTGCCCGGTCAGAAGCACCACAGTCACATCAGTTGGTACCTTGCGTCACTTCTTCCTGTGTAATTACACCGAAGTGACCGAGCACTGTCTGTTGCAGGTGCGCATTTGCTGAAGCGCTGGGCTGGCTTTGCTCTGCAGTGACCTACGCTGTCTGTTGCAGGCACGCAGTTGCTGAGCGCTGTGCTGGCTTTGCTCTCAGTGAGCCAACGCTGTCTGTCGCAGGCACGCAGTTGCTGAGCGCTGTGCTGGCTATGCTCCGAAGTGTCCCAACGCTGTCTGTTGCAGGCACGCAGTTGCTGAGCGCTGTGCTGGCCTTGCTCTGCAGTGACCTACGCTGTCTATTGCAGGCACGCAGTTGCTGAGCGCTGTGCTGGCGGCGTACCGCGCTGTGCGCGAAGGGCGCGAATGGGCGATGGGCGGGGCGCCCCGGCAGCCCCTCGTCCTCCTCCT